CCATGAAGCGACATACTTTTATTTTTATTTTTAGACACAGGGTCTCACTCTATTGCTCAGGCTGGAGTTCAGAAGCATAATCATAGCTCACTGCAACCTTGAACTCCTGGGCTCAAGTGATCTTCCCACCTCAGCTTCCTGAGTAGCTGGGACTACAGGCACATGCCACTATGCCTGGCTAATTTCTAAAAATATTTTTATAGCGATGGGGCCTCATTATGTTGCCTAGGCTGGTCTCAAACTCCTAACCTCAAGTGATCCTCCCACCTTGGCCTCCCAAATCACTAGGATTACAATCGTGCGCCACTGTGCCTGGTCTGACCTGCATACTTTCAACTGATGCATTTTATTTTATGAAAATTATCCCTTTGTCAGATGGATAGATCGCAATTTTTTTTTTTTTCCGATTCTGTTGGTTGCTGGTTCACTCTAATGATAGCTTCTTTTGCTGTGAAGAAACTCTTAAATTTAATTAGATCCCATTTGTCTATTTTGGCTTTTGTTGCCATTGCTTTTGGTGTTTTAGTCATGAAGTCCTTTAAGACATTTATGCAGCCAACAAACACATGGAAAGAAAGCTCATCATCACTGGTCATTAGAAAAATGCAAATCAAAACCATATTGAGATACCATCTCATGCCAGTTAGAATGGTAATCCTTAAAAAATCAGGAGACAACAGATGCTGGAGAGGATGTGGAGAAATAGGAATGCTTTTACATTGTTGGTGAAAGAGCAAATTAATTCAACCATTGTGGAAGACTGTGTGGCAATTCCTCAAGGATCTAGAACTAGAAATACCATATGACCCAGAAATCCCATTACTGGATATATACTCAAAGGATTCTAAAACATTCAGTTATAAAGACACATGCATGCATATGTTTACTGCAGCACTGTTTACGATAGCAAAGACTTGGAACCAACCCAAATGCCCATCAATAATAGACTGCATGAAGGAAATGTGGCACATGTACACATGGAATACTATGCAGCCACAAAAAAGGATAAGTTCGTGTCCTTTGCAGGGGCATGAATAAATCTGGAAACCATCATTCTCAGCAAACTGACACAAGAATAGAAAACCAAACACTGCGTGTTCTCACTCATAAGTGGGTGTTGAACAATGAGAATGTATGGACGCAGGGAGGGGAACATCACACATCAGGGCTTGTTGGGGGGTTGGGGAGCTGAGGGAGGGATGGCAGGGGGTGAGGGATTGGGGAGGGCTGACGTTAGGAGAAATATCTAATGTAGATGACAGGGGGATGGATGCAGTAAACCACCATGGCATGTGTATACCTATGTAACAAACCTGCAAGTTCTGCACATGTACCCCAGAACTTAAAGAATAATTAAAAAAAAGAAAATTATATCTCAATAAAGTAGAGTTAACATAAAAAGTTAAGATTTGATACAACTGGGTAGCTGCACGAATGTTCACTACTTTATCCATATACTTAAACTACAAATGGATCAAAAATTCAAATGTGAAAAGTGGAAGTCATAAATGTACTCAAAGAAAATGTAGGCAAATTATTTTACAAACTCAGATGAGGAAGGCCTTTGTAACAGTGACTTGAAATTAAGAAACTGTTAAAAATTTGATAAATTCGACTCTATAAAATAGCAGTGTTTGCAATAGTCCATAAGTTTGAAAATGCATTAAAAATACTGAAAGGAAATACATCAAGAGGTTAGCAGTGAAATTCTTTGCATTTGTAGTTATTGATGATTGTTATTTTCTTATTTATGTTTTTATATACGTTTCACAAATTGAATGTATCCCTTTTAGAATCATCAGAAAAACTGACTAAGAAACTAATGTTTCTGCTTCGTTAGTTTTTCAGAGTTTTTTTTTTGCTTCCATACCTTTCTATCTTATAATTTTTATTCTTTTCTTCTTGTGTCTCACAGGAAGACTCGTTCCTTCCTTCCATGGCTGATTCTGTTTTGATTTCTTTGGGGCAACATGTCATCCATTATGCTCTCCCCTTTTCTTGCCTCTTTCATGTCTTCTTTACTGTTGGATCATTTTTTCTTTCCCTATAAGCGCGTCTGTTACCTGATCCTGCAATATGTCTGACCCATAACCATGAAGCCCTTCTTCCATGAAGGTGGCTTCTGCCTTCTTTTCATTATCAAGCTTCTGACAGAATAGTGGATATTAGTCACCTTTATTTTTCTGCCACCAGGTCATTTGTTAACTTTTGTCAATCTGGCTAGCCTGTAATCACTTTAATATATACTCCACCTTGGAGAGCTTCTTTATCTACTGTCATACAGCTCCACTGCAGGTGCAGAAACGTTGAACCTTCCTATAGACAGAGCAAGATTCAAACTCTTGTTTGCCTGGCAATCAAGGCCCTCCACAGCCTCGACGCAGCTGACTTTATCTCATATTCCTGGACCCCGACCCACTCCGTCCACTCTAGCCCGACTGCATCCTTTGCCATTGCTCAAACTCTTCCTGCCCTGTCCCTCCACTGCACATTTATTGTTGGGGTTCCCTCTACCCTTTCCTCATCTGTGTGTTTCAAGAGTGTCCTGGAAGAGACTCTAGGGCTCATGCATATCTGGTTGTCCTCTCCATTTGGGCACATGGGAGACTTACTCTCCCTTGCCCCTTTGCAGTTAGGCAGGGTATTACCAAGGCTTTGTTGTCTGGTTGAAGACCTTTGGGCTGTCTCTTCCCTGCCCCAGGGACCGAGAAGGCAGCATGTTCTAGAAGTGCTTCTGTCTTTTCTTTTCTTGAGTGTCATTTTGGAGAATCTCAGCTGTAAAAACTTTAGTCCACACTGTCCTGGAAGATCAAATCTGGAAGTGATAGAAAGGTCTTGACAGCTTTGTCCCTGTCTTTCTAAGAAAGGGGTTGTGCACAACATAGGAAGAATGGGCACTGGGGCCAGCCTGAGCCCAGTAGCTGAGGACTAGGAAGGCCTTATCTGCCTCTGTAGAGCCAGCGAGGAATCCACGAATTGTAAATATTAAATTTACACTGAGAAGCATGAGTCCCTGAATCGTAAGTGCTTCTTGCATTTAAAGCAGGTAATGTTTGAGGCTATTGCATGAGGGTCCTTATGATGAGCTGTACACAGAACCTAGAATTATTTTAACTTTTAACTTTTTATTTTTTACCATTGTCTACTAGTTTTTAACGTTTTATCAGTTTAAGTGAAGCATAGAAAACTTATCTCTGTTTAAATTCCTTTACTCACCTCCATTTTAATATAATTGTCTTAAATATCTTCTACACATATACTGAGAACCGATCAGACAGTGTTATACTTCTTGTATCACCCATGAAACATAATTTAGAAAACACAGGAAGAGAAAGAAATTTATTTAAATTATTCATATATTAATCTTTTATTATATTTTTTTCCTGTCTGATGTTCCAAGTTTCCTTATTTTATAGTTTCGTTTGTGTTCAGAGAACTTTCTTTAATCATCATTTTAGGTAGGTTTGCTGGCAACCACATCTTTTAAGTTGCCTTCATCTGAGAATATCTTGATTTCTCTTTGATTTTCTGAAGGATATTTTCACAGGGTCTATAAATCTGCGTTGACAGTTTTTATCTTTTAGCATTTGGAAACTATCGTATTACTTCCTATTGGTTTCCATGGTTTACAGTGACAGACCTGCCATCATTTAAATTGTTTTCTTCTGTTGGTAAGGTGTCATGTCTCTCTTGCTGCTTTCATAATTTTTTTTTGTTGTACTTTAGGTTCTGGGGTACATGTGCAAATCATGCAGGATTGTTGCATAAGTACACACATGGCAATGTGATTTGTTGCCTCCATCCCCCTGTCACCTGTATCTGGAATTTCTCCCCATGTTATCCCTCCCCAACCTCTCCACCCACTGCTGTCCCTCCCCAACCCCGCCAACAGACCCCAGTGTGTGATGCTCCCCTCCCTGTGTCCATGTGTTCTCATTGTTTAACACCCACTTATGAGTAAGAACATGCAGTGTTTGATTTTCCGTTCTTGTGTCAGTTTGCTGAGAATTATGGTTTCCAGATTCATCCATGTCCCTACTAAGGACACAAATTCATCGTTTTTTATGGCTACATAGTATTCCATGGTATATATGTGCCACATTTTCCTTGTCCAGTCTATCATCGATGGGCATTTGGGTTGGTTCCAAGTCTTTGCTATTGTAAACAGTGCCACAATGAACATATGTGTGCATGTGTCTTTATAACAGAATGATTTATAATCCTTTGGGTATATACCCAGTAATGGAATTATGGGGTCAAATGGAATTTCTATTTCTAGATCCTTGAGGAATCGCCACACTGTCTTCCACAATGGTTGAACTAATTTACACTCCCATCAACAGTGCAAAAGCATTCCTATTTCTCTACATCCTCTCCAGCATCTGTTGTCTCCAGATTTTTTAATGATCGCCATTCTAACTGGTGTGAGATGGTATCTCAATGTGGTTTTGATTTGCATTTCTCCAATGACCAGTGATGATGAGCTTTTTTCATATGTTTGTTGGCTGTGTAATCAAATCATCTCATGTACCCCCAAAATATATACATCTACTAGGTACCCAGAAAAATAAAACATAAAAAGTTAAAAATCCTTGTCAGTTAATTCTAACCTCTTTTTCCTCTTGATGTTGGAATTTGTTGATTGCCTTTTCTCATGTAAGTTGAGATTTTATGAAGAGCAATTTTTGATCGAAACCTGGACGTTGGGATATTATGTTATAAAATTCAGGTTATTATTTAATCTTCTGTTCTAGCTGGTCTCCTCTGACACTGTTTTGGTAGGGGAAGGGGATGCTGCTTCATTCCTAACAGGTGGCAGTGGAAATACAGGTTCTCTCCACTTTGCCTCTGGGGACACCCAAGGGGAGAGCTCCTCATCACTGCTGGGAGGGGGGATTTTAGACTCCTTCCCTGGCCTCTGCAGATACCACCCTGGCCAGGAGGGGCAGAAATATTTTGATATTGCTTCTATGCAGATTCCACTGACACTGCATGGGGAGTGGCCTTGGTACTGCTGGGGGAGGGAAAAAGTCCTGGCTGTCCAGCAGGCCTCCTGTGACACTAGCCCTAGAGAAAAGAGAAGAGCCTCACTGCAGCCTGCAGAGGTAAGTCTAGGCTGCCTGTGTGGTCTCCACTGACACTGTGATGGTGGTGGTGGTGGGAGGGGGGTGCTTCCACATCTCATAGCAGGAATGAAAGTCCTGGATCTCTCACTTAGCTTCCCTGACTCCACCCCAGTGGGGAAGTTTGAGTGCCTCGTGATAGCCTGGGAAGGGCAGAAGTCTGGACTCGCTACCTGGCCTTTCCTGGTGTGGGTAGGGGTGGGCAAAAATGACATTTTCTGTGGTGTTTGGCTGAGTTGAGTGGTTATTGTCTAAAGGTTTTCTGTCTTTCCAGGCTGCCTCTTTTCTGGTTCTTTAGCTAAGCAGAGCAAGCTTTTCTTGTTTGTTTACTTGTTTTGTCTGCACCTGTTGGTGTTTCTGGTTATTGGTTTCTCCAGCTCCCACTTTGGGATATATGGGAGAAAAAGATAATCCAGGGAGCCCACCACAGTGTCACTCCTGGGGTCTCAACATCTTTAGGTGGTTTGGCTTCTTCTTCTACCTTTCAGAGTCTTCTTATGTCTATTTGATATGTAGTTTCCAGCATTTTTAGGTAGACTTAGAGGGAGGAATATGGAAATATACCCCCACTTCATCATTCTGGAAGTTCTCTACTTTGTTTTTTAAATGCATGAGAATAATTATTCTTATAACCTAAATATCCAATAACAGACCAATGCACCTTATGGTATATTATGCAACCAGTAAAATGATGGCCACAATACAATATTACATTTTTATTAAAATTAAAAATGTTCAGATGACATAAATGAAAGAAAGATTACACAACTGCGTGCATATGTAAGTATGATTATAGCTATGTGAAAAAACGAAAATATTGACAATGGCTCTTTGGAAGATGAAATCATAAGTGACCTTTTCCCTTTTAATGAGCCAAAATTTTAAAAAAGAGAATCTAGTACTTTTATAATCAAAAAACAAATTTTATCACATTTTATTCCTAAATTTTCTCTCAGAAAGATACATACAACTATCTTCTAAGATATATGACATTTTGCATGGGTTCATTAATTTATTTGTATCTGAGGGGTTAAAAAATGTTTTCAGCCTTGGTTTATGTACATTGAAACTATGGTTATGGGTTTAGATGATTCCTTTTCCATAAAATGAATATCCCATCAACAGCAATCAGCCACAGAGCTATACTTACCATGCTACAGGAATAAAACACTTTTTATCTGGAGATTTGCAAGAATGCTTTATGGGCTCCCAGCATACCACACATAAGCCAGGAGGAGAGGAAATGGTATAGCAGAGGATGCCTGGAGGGCAATTCCAGGATATGAAAGCCCCCTGGACTTGTGCTTCCAGTTCGGGCGTCCCTGCTTGAAGCCCCATCTCCTTTCTAGGACGCTGCTGGCTTTGGTTCCTCCACCTGTTGTCCTTCACATTCACAAACAGCAGTTTTCAACTGTGCAGATTACATAGGCTGAGCATGGCTCGCAAGCATTGCTCGGTGTGCATGTGGTCGAACATGTGTTACAGGAAAGCCTGGGGGGAAATTGATTTTAAACTAAGCTTAACAAGGGAATCTTGAGAAAATGGCAACTCAGAAAAACCTTGTCAAAATTTGCCCTATAAATGACGTTCTGAAAAAACTCTGCACAATAGCATCGACAGAAGCCTATTTCTTCTTCGCACCCAGAATTGCCACTTCATGTTCACTGCAGCAGTGGCAGTGAATAGTCTTTTATCTTTTTTCTTGATTTTGCAAATGTTATCTTAGGGCTATTCCTGATTTTCTGTCAGTGGAAAACAGGAACAAAGGGAGGTGCCAGCATGACATGTTACGCTAATAATTAATCTGCCTTTAGAATATTTTAAAAATATTTCTCGTGTCATGCACTTAGCCTCAGCTACTTTTCAGCACTCTTTTAAGAAGATCCCTGAACACATTAGGGAGGTTTGAACTGGGCCAGATGTTGGGGAAACAGGATTCTCTTACATCAGCATCTCTGAGACTCTGGGGGGTTTAATGAGTAACTGTGGAACTTGCCTGCTGTCCTCACTGTCCAGCAGGCCCCGGTACGTGTTGATTTCACCTTCCAGCCGGGCCTTCACGTCCAGCAGCACTTGGTACTCCTGGTTCTGTCTCTCCAGGTCACAGCGGATCTCAGCCAGCTGGTTCTCCACGTTATCGATCAGGCACTGAATCTGGTCCAGCTGGGAGCTGTACTGGGCCTCAGTTTCTGCCATGGTACATTCCAGAGATTCTGTCTGCAGGAGGAAACGTTGTCCAAAGGACCATGAAGTGCAGTCTCTGGGGCCAGAGTCTTCTGCCTCCCAGATTCAAGCGATTCTCCTGCCTCAGCCTCCCAAGTAGCTGGGACTACAGGTGCCTGCCACCACGCCCAGCTAATTTTTTTTGTATTTTAGGGGGTTTCACCATGTTGCCCAGGCTGGTCTCGAACTCCTGAGCTCAGGCAATCCACCTGCCTCGGCCTCCCAAACTGCTAGGATTACAGGTGTGAGCCACCGTGCCCAGCCACCAGACTTTCAAATCCTTGCTCTACCTTTTCTAGCTATGTGACTAATGGAAAATTATTTACCTTCTACGAGCCTCAGTTTTATTCTCTATATTGGGGAATGCAAAGTATTTGTCTCATTATGGGGTTGTGAAGATTAAGAGTTAGCATGTGTGAAGCACTTAGGACAGTGCCAACCGTACTACCACTGTTCTACATGTCAGCTCTTACTACCACCACTATGACTACAGCAATCCATGACATATTTGTAAAGCTTAAGGACTATCAACAGCATTTTAAAGGAAACATTGAGTTTGCGCTCTTGGCAGGGACGGGTAGAATAGCGCTGTTAAGAGAAGAGGCTCTCGGTACCAGAGGCTGGGAAGGGTATATGTGGGGTAAGGGGATGAAGAGAGGTTGGTTAATGGGTACAAACACAGAGTTAGATAGAAGGAATACGTTTTCATGTTGGACAGCAGAGAAGGGTGACTACAGCTAACAACAATACACTGGGTATTGTTAGAAGACTCGAAATGTTCCCAACAACACATAGAATTAATAAATACTGAAGGTGATGGATGCCCTAAATATCTTGATTGATCATTACACATTCTGTGCATCCAACAAAATATTACATGTACTCCATAAATATTTATGAATATTATATATCAATAAAAAATAAACATAAAGAGAGAGAGAGAGAAGAGACTCTGGGATTCGTCTGGCTGAACTCAGCTTCCATGTTTACCTCTTAGAATTGCATCCTTTGCAAGTGACTTAATCTGAGTCTCAGTTTTCCTTATCTGTGTTATGGGATAAAGGTATCTCTCCCATAAAGTTATTGTGAGGCTTAAATGAGCATGGTGCCTCTCACAGGATGAATGCTCAGCTGTCATTCTTCTGGGTACGCTCTGCAGGACCTAATGAAATGCACACAGTGGTGCTTGACCAGAACTGGTGAATGTAATCTTGAACGCATGGTGTTCTTGTTGCTTGAGTGGAGTGGGTGGCAGTGAAGTGTCAGGTTGAAGTAGATCCTGGGAAACAGTAGGATGAAACGTTTGAAATGATTCTTTGTTTTAGATATGACAGTGAGCCTGGAAAACTGGCCTGAATCAAATGAGAATTTAAACCTGCTGGAATGCTTAAGTGACCTCAGCCTGGAGGTCTCTCTCTCGCTCTGCTTCTCCCTCCCTGTCTCTGGAAGCTGCTGAAGCATCAGACTTAAGCCCAGGAGTGAAGGCCAGGCATCTTAGAGAGCAATACAAACTGTCGACCTGCCACTTCTGCTTCTATTAATAGCTGGGTAAATGGTAGTACTTGGGAAAGGCAAGGACATGTGATCCCTGGATATGGAAGAGGGCTTAACATCTCAGGGCCTGACTTATCAGTGACACAACAGACACTGCCTTTGCCTCACGCACCAGACTTTGCTGTGCTTGGAGCTCAATTTCCAGAGCATTGGCTGTGCGTTTCAGTTCCAAGATCTCCATCTGGCAGCCCTGCAGCTGCTCCGTGCTGGACAGTTGCTGCTGATTCAGCTCTTCTGTCTGAAACACAGGTACTATTAGAGAATTCAAAAAAGGCAGAAGTCTGTTAGCCTGCTATTTTTTTGATCTGGGTGCTGACCTGAACAGCGAACCATTCTTCCGCTTCTCTGCGATTGTTGGCGAGCACCGTTTCATACTGACAGCGCATCTCATCCAGGACTCTGTTGAGGTCAAGGGTTGGGGCAGTATCTAGCTCCACACTGAGGCGGTCGCCAAGCTGTCCACGAAGCAAGTTGACTTCCTGAAAGTGGAATGTCGTAAAGAATGTCACAGAATGGTGAAGAAAAAATTCATTTGACATCCGATGGTGTTCTACTTCTGTTTTTTGGAGTAGTGGGTGAAAGTGTGAGATTTTGATTCAGATTGCCTGGGCTGAATTTCTTTTCACCACTTACAAGGGTCTCAGTTTCTTCATCTGTAAAATGGGCATAATAATTGGACATTTCTCCCGAAGGTTATTGTGAGATCTAGAAGAGTTAATCTACATATAATTAACTTATGAAAGTCCTGGCACATAGTAAGTTCTCGATAAATGTTAGCTATGATTGCCATCAACAAATGTTCAAAGAGCGAATGTAATTTGTTACATCATTCAGCTTTTCATTTTCTAGCTTTATTAATATATCAATTGCTTTATATTTTATGATTTTTAAAAGTTTATAAATGTGGAATATTTAAAAACACCGGTCCAGATAGTGTATGAGTCTTTATCCCTTTTCGAAATGGCCTTCACAGTGTGTTTCTCAACCTTATTTTTATACCCTGTGGATTGGAGTTAGGGGTGGCATAAAGCGCCAAGAAAAGCCATTTGTGGAGTTATTCACCTTCTCCACAAAGGCAAGGGCAGGAGAAGAGTTTGATTTCTTCCTCTGGCGCTGGCCAGGGGCTATTTCACATCTTAACTCAGAGACACACTGGAATGATCAGGCTGAACAGTAATAATGCCTCCGGTAATTTGAGTCCAGCTTAAGCAACATCTGCCCTAGTTCAATTCACAAACATCAACAGATCATCTGTTAGTGTAACTATGTCACCCTTGGAGTCCTTCAACGGAGTTGCCACTTTCCTTACCTCTTCATGGGTTTTCTTAAGGCAAAGGAGATCTTCCTTCAGAGACTCCACATGGGCCTCCAGGTTGGATTTGCACAAGGTCAGCTCACCCAGGATCCCACGCAGGCCGCTGATGTCAGCCTCCAACAGCTGGCGAAGGGACAGTTCACTGTCGTACCTTTCACAGCACAAGAGAAATCCAGAGCTTACTCTGTTGAATGCTGTGCAAAGTGAGGGGATACATGGAGAATCGACATATGGACTTCAGGAAGCCACATGCAGAATTTCTCTTAATTCCTGAGAAATGATAAATTCAAGCTTTTAAGACATTCTTAACTTTAAGATATTATATAGAGAATATTTGTGTGTGTGTGTGTGAGAGAGAGAGAGAAAGAGAGAAGGGTGGGGAGAGAGAGAGCGAGCGAGCCATAAATTGTTTTCAAAATAAAATTAAGCCTGGGCACAGTGGCTCATGCCTGTAATCCCAGCACTTTGGGAGGCCAAGGCGGGTGGATCACCTGAGGTCAGGAGTTTGAGACCATCTGGCCAGCATGGGGAAACCTCTTCTCTACTAAAAATACAAAAATTAGCTGGGCATGGAAGCACATGCCTGCCTGTAATCTCAGCTACCTGGGAGGCTGAGGCAGGAGACTCGCTTGAACCCCGGAGGCGGAGGTTGCAGTGAGCCAAGATAGTGCCACTGCACTCCAGCCTGGGCAACAAAAGTGAAGCTCCATCTAAACATAAATAAATTAAATTAAACTTACTTTGACTTAAAATCCTCAGTGGCCAGTTTGCAGTTGTCAAGCTGTACAGCAAGTCTAGAATTCTCTGCCTTCGTGCATAAGATCTGGGAAGAAAGTCCTTATTTAATAAATTATTCTTTGAGAGAAACCTGAATAAACTTCTATCCAACAGCTATGCCATTAGTTATCTTTTGAAAGTCTTTATAAGAAAGTATAAAATCGCCTTCAGCCTGCTTTCCTTGTTAAACGTGTCACTTCATGAAGAAAACAAGCAGTGCCAATTTAGAAACAAAATAGAGAAATAAAAAGGTTTTCTTTTCTTCATAACATAAGACATTTTGCACAATTCCTAGGCAGTTGAACGCTATTAACGTTTTCCTCCATCAGTAGTTTGTATTATGACTATATCCTCTCCCATAATAATGGAAATTCATCAGGGAGAGAAGAAAATGGCTAGGTGGTTAAAAAGATGGCATTTCACGATCTGTGCTCAGATAATATAAATGTTCAGTGTCACATACAAAAGCGATTTTGGATGTCATACAGTCTTTATGCATTCTATAGATGATGAAGGAAAAGTCTACAGACAAGTTACTTTGTTATAGTTACTCAGTAATCAGAGGTAGCTCTGGGGCTGGGGCTGAGGTTTCCTGACTTCTAGTCCAGTGCTCTTCCCTATGTACCATTAACTCTTAGAACTCTCCTTTCTCTTGGTTTCCTTCCGTAAAACAGCCCCTTTTAGTAGAAAGATAAAGCAAACCATAGATCGGGAAGCTGGAGCACTAGGGCAACAGGACATGCACCTTTTGTTGGAGATCTTCAATGGTGTTGAAGTAACACTGATAATCGGGGCACACCAGTGGGATATCCTGTTCACATTGCTCTTGGATCCTGGATTCCAGCTCTGCATTGGTCTCCTCCAGGCTGCGCACCTTCTCCAGATAGTTGGCGAGTCTGTCATTCAGGAACTGCATCGTCTCCTTCTCATTGCTAGTGAACACTCCATCCTCACACCAGGCACAGTTCCCCACCAAGCAGGGACCATTACAACTCCCAGTAAAGTAGCATGGCAGGAGGCAACCGGTCAGCCCGAGAGACCTGGATAGGAAGCTAGGGGTCTGACATCGGGATGCACCACAGGAACCAGGGAGACAAGCTGTCTCCATGGAACAGCTTGAGGCAGGTGCACAACAGGAAGCCCTGGTACAGGACTCAGGAGAGCAGGGCATGGAGGAGCAGTCAGAAGACATCCTTCTAGAGGCAAAGACAGAGACTGGCTGCAAAACACCAGTTGCCTTGACTCCAAAACGCTCCTTCCCTCCTGAGAGTTTTATATAGCCCCCCCCCCAAAATGGGTGTTTACAGACTACACCGGATGTTTTCTTATCATTGATGGTGCCAGTTTTTATACAAACGTCTCATTAGAGTTGTTTATTTACTGAAGAAGAGTTGCATGCCTCATAAAAGAGGGATAACTTTAGGTTACCAAAGCAGGGCTCACACCATTTCCATGTGCAAGACGAAACACTTATTTCAGAAAATCGTCATAGGAAGCATCGTCCTTTTGACAGAATAAGAAAAGAAAGAGAACATTTGGCCAATCAATAATTATAGATACAACTCATTACAAATCAGGAAATTAATATTCCCACAGATTTTGATTCTGTGCATTGATTGCTTGTGTCTTCTTTAAAATTAGTCTTACAGCTCATAAAAGGATATTCATTTGTTTGTGCCACCACTATAAAAATGGTCAGCGTGGTTAGCAATCTTCCAGTGCTTTTTGTGATCTTAGAGCATGTGCTGACAGGACTGGAGGAGTGAGGTATATCCTGGGTTTAAAGAGAGAGAGAGAGAGAGAGAGAGAGAGAGTGTGTGTGTGTGTGTATACAAACCATGTCTACCTGAATACAAATGGAAAAGTCTCTTTATACAACTGATAGGAATAACTTGTTTCCTGTAAGTTAAAATATAAATTGGTTAGAGCTGGAATTACGATCTTTGACTTCCTGAAACTTGCCTTCTCCACATTTCTTATTTTTAGGTAAGTTATGCTATTTTACCTGTATTCCTAATAAGAGTGAAATATAAAATTCTAAGTTATAAACTTTTAGTCCCTTGGGAATTCCTCAGTGATTATACTTCAGAAAAGAGGCGAGGAACCCACAGGAGTCTTTGCTTCTGAGACGTATAAAAATACTGGAACTTGGGAAATAAAATTCTATTCAGGTTCCAAATGAGTAATTCCACTGGATGGAATCTCTGATGCCAAATCTGACAGATAGGAACTTGAGATGTGTGACTTTTTTGAATTATCTCTTGAATTTCACCTCTGTTATGAAGTATAATCTATTCCACTTTGCTTGGCTTTAGTCGTGACATGTATTTCATTTTCAAAGGTGCACAGAGAAAATTGCCTCTAGAATTTTTAAGAACATTATAGGAAAAAAACATATTAATCTGAAAAAGTTAAAAAATTTATGATTCAGAATAAACTTATTTCTTCTTCTAATCTTGAGTGCTGCTTCCTAGGTAGCTGATAACAGAAACCAAACCAAACCGAACCAGAAGAACATATGTAAGTGAGTTAAAATAGTCTCTTAGGAATTATTACTCCCTGAGCAGAGTTGAGTTTGAATTTAGTGATTCTCTTTACACATCAACACTTATGCGAAAAGTTTTTAGAGTGCTTCATGGTATGTTGATGCTGCTTTGCAACAAACATGAGTTCAAGGATTCAAAAACACTTTTGAAAAATCACAACTCTCTGAAAGAAAATTATCTTTTCATAGTAACTTAATGAGTCAAAAGAAAAATATCTTTGAAGAAAACCAATGTTTTGGTTGTCCATCACAGATTCCAGTTAGCTAAAATGCAGTAATGTAACTGCAGGTAAAATGGAAAATATTTCCTTTTGTCTTGCACTAATTCTAATTGTAAAGTGTTGGTTACTGGTTATTGTCCTGCAGGGTAGGACTATTTATGTTAGTCTTGATGAATTAGATAATGTTGTATAATGATCTATAGCTGTAGTCTCCATTGTATAATATGGAAATTGCCCAGAATTCATTTCTGTGATGCCCTCCTTAGGGAAAAGAAGTCAGGCTGGCAGGACCACAGGAAAGCAAAAATAAACAAACAAACAAAAACAAAAAAATAAAGCAGATAAGCTATAAGACTCACCTATCTTCTTCATGGTCCAGGACACATAGCCCATAGCCCTCCTGCACAAATAACTCACAATCCTCCTTCACCCAGCTATCACCAGACTTTCAGCTGATAGAAAAATGCAAGTTAACTCACTGCAGCCTTAGTGTTATCAGTACTGCACAAAGCCTCTTCAGCACACAGCACAAGCACCATCCTGCAAAATCTCCAGCACGCCTTCGTCTCCTTAAAGACAGCTCCTTCTCTGCTGTGCTGCCTGTTGCTCCCTTGCAACCTATTTTCACACCTTGTCTAATAAACTTGCCCTTCATGACCTACAATTATCTTGATAAATTCTTCTTACCCCCATGCCACCATCCCCAGATAGTCGCTAATCACCCATGACAATTTCTATAGCACATTATCATCAGTTGAAAGAAACATTGGGAATAGAGAAAAAGCAATAGACATCATGAAAGGCCATGATTTAAAAAAATAAAAGAATAACAAAGTAGTTTATTTCATATAATAATATGCTCTTATCTTACAACATCCACCTAGCATCATTTTCTTAAAATACAGACCTGTTTTCTTCACTTTCCACTTATGGAGTGCAGACTTACTGCTTTGGCAAATATGACCTTCCTAACCTGGTGCCAATTTACCTTTCTAGGCTCCCTTCCTGGTGTTCTCTCTCACAAATCCCAAGCTCCAGTCATCCTTCAAGCTTTGTAGGTACTGTTTTCTTGGTCAAATCCTCTTCTGCCATTCCTTTCCTGGATGAACTCGCATGTCAAGACTCAGCTGAAAGGTCATTCAACTACCTCATGTTGAGATGGGCTCCTCCCAGAGCACTTTGCACGCATCTCCACTGTAGCAGTTGTCTTGTTGCTTTTAACATTTGTGCGTCAGGTTATAAGCGTTTACATGAGGCTTTAAGAACTTTGACTCAGGGCCAGGGCTAGTATCTACGTGCAGCAACATGCTTGATTTTTACTGTTTTGGACAACAACCTAAATAACTTTAACAGTGCCTGGGAATGTTCAAGGCCCGGCTCGGGTTCAGGCTGCAGGGGAAACACGCAGCTGGCTGGGCCACAAGGGTGGTCAAGGCACTCTGTGTTTCCCAAGGCAAAGAACGAAGTGGGGATGAACTGGGGGACCCTGCAATATGATCAATCATATTGAATGACTTGGTCACTTTACATTATCATTTATCTAAGTTGCTTTATTCAATTAGTTGATAGAATTAGCAAACTGATTTTCTCTTCACATCTATGTTCATGAGAAATATTGCCTGCAATTTTCTGTTCTTGTAATGGCCTTGTTAGGTTTTGGTATCAAGGTTATATACTGAGTTCATGATATGGTTTGGCTCTGTGTGCCCACCCAGATCTCACCTCAAATTGTAATCCCCAAATCCCCATGTGTTGGG